GTAACAGCGCGACGCTGCAAAAACAAGCGCATGCATGCATTACGCGCGCACACACACGCTGTCAGCGCCGCGCCGCAGCGCACAATAAAAATAATTTATATTAATTAGAGCTAGCATAAGCAATTTAAATAGGCCAACGGCAAAAGCTAATTCTTCAAATATGCTTCTTAGAGTTTAGTGGGAGTCAGCACTGTGGGAAGCGCTGCTAATAAAGCACTAAAAAGCGCTGTGTCACATAATTCATTAAAGTTGCCGTTGTGTTTATGAAAATATTAAAAATAATATGTGTGACAGGCGTTGGCAGTGTGTGGCATATGTGTGGCAGCGTGAAAATTGTTAGAAAAATAGCTAAAAAAAATTTTATCTTAGCTGTTTCGTTGCTTATTTAGGCGATAATTTATTAACTCTGGCACTTCGCGGCCCATTTGATGACCGACGACTTTCGACAGCAAATTATACAAGCAATCAAAGCGAGCAGAACAAGTGTTAGAAATGCTTACGAGTGCACATTTTTTAAGAGTGCTGTGCGTATATTGAAATCACAGCAACAACTTTAGTAAGGCGTATATAAAATCTACAATACTTAGGTTTACTACGTCATAATTTCTCAATAAAATGTACGTTTATGCGCGTCGCTGCTAATGTGTAAAATTACATAATATTCCTGCTTTATTTGCCACCAAATACAACTGCGTGCTGCTGCCCACTCAGTTTGCTAAAATTTCCGGCAGCTGTAGTACCTTTATATATTATATTTACATTTCGGCAGTCGCACGCATTGCGCTTCTTCGCCCAAACTGTTCACGTGCTATTTTCGTGTCGTTTTAATGCACGCTGGTCGCCAACTGCTGCTTGCCACATACAAAAAGTCAACCAAACCACTGCACAACAAACAATATTGTTGTACCACAATCCCTAACTTCTAAAGCGCGCTGGCTATCTTTTCAATACACCTCTCTGCGCTCGAAATTTTGTATGTTGTAGTTGCTGCGCCATATTTTTGGGCTGAAAAATTAAGTATTTGAATGGGTGGAAACAAAAAAATAAAATAAAAAGATTAACTTCGCTTGCACCGAAACTTAATACCCTTCACAAATATCATATAAAAGTTTCCATACAAAAACTTTATTTGATTGGTTAGTTTGTATGGCAGCTATTGTTATGGTGATCCGATCTTAACAATTCTGCGGAGATTGCACATTGGCTTAGGCAATAATTCTTGCCGAATTTCTGGAAGATATCTCGTCAAACAGCAAAGTTTTCCATGCAACACTTGATTCCGATTGTTCAGTTTGTATGACAGCTATAGGCTATAGTGGTCGGATAACGACAATTCGGACAAATAAGCAGCTTCTTAGGAAAATAAGTGTGCAAATTTTCAGAACGATATCTCTAAAACTGAGGTACTAGTTCACGTATATACAACAAACGGACATGGGTAACATCAGCTCTCTGCATTTATTGGGATATACACTTTATACGGTAAACGACGTTTCCTTCTGGGAAAAATCGTGGCAACTTAGGGTACATTAAGGGGTGTAAAAATAATCCATATTTCGCCCTATAATAGAGCCTTAAAGACTTGCTGAGGCGATTGGCGGCGTTCGAGGTTAACAACAAAATTTTGACTTGGAAATCGAAACAGGAGCCAATGCAAAGGAACTAAGATTGAAACAAGTACGGTTGCTCATCAACTACTAAATTCTTACACGCGAGCCAAACTATTAAATGACTCAAGTACCGTGGTCCCTTATAAAATACAGGGACCATTTGAGCTATGATTTATTCAAGTTTCAATATTGAAAGATGAGCACGCCATTTTATTGGTTACATTATGAAAGCTTGTAGATTTATGTGGCCAAAAAATTATTCAAGTCGAAAGTGATCCAAACCAGTTTCTAGATTAGAACGGCTTATACTCTGGGGGCTTTTATAACAGCGTAAAGCTGCTTAACAAAAATTGGCACTGAGTAATGTCACAATAAAAAATCAAGGTTGCAGAGCTCGAAATGACAGTTAGCGACCCTTCATGCGTATATAATACCATTATACATATATAATGTATAAGACCAAATACATATAGTATAAAGACCAATAATGTATAAGACCAAAGAAGTTTATACCAAACTTCTCCACTTGCTGTTTTTTGAGAAACATAGAAGATAAGCTTAATATTTGCTTAACTGCAACTAAATAAATATTTATATTTATCGAATTCTACACGAATATTGCATTAAACTTTGTTTGCTCAATTTTATCTTGCATATTTTTTGCCAAAAATTTATCTGCGTTCGAAGTGAGTGCGCAAAATTGTAGTCTTTTTTTTTGGAATTAAATTTTTTCAATCAATATCCGCTTTGGTGGTTTTTTATTATTTATATATTTTTTTTATTTGCAATTTGACATTTTTTACAGCTTAGAAATACAAATATTCATTAAGCTGATTACAACTGGTTTTGAGCGCTTATTGAGCGCTTATTTTTTAGTTAAAATATTTGTCATTAAGAAACAAATATTATGCGCACGAAAGTCATGTGCAGAAAAGTGAAATTTTATATGAACATGTGGAACACAAGCAACGCAGTCAACAGTATTGGCTACGTACAACACTCGACACGTAAATTAACTAAAACATTAAAGTGATTAGTCGTTAATTAAGCGAATAAATCTAATTAAAGGGATCTGGGTAGTTAATTAGCAGAAGTGCATGACACGACATCAATATACTTGTAAAGAAAAACTTTCAATTAAAAATTTCATACGACAATGCTTACAAAAGAGCATATGCGATACTCTCAACGTTAATTTTTTAGAAAAAGCAGGCAGTGATTAGACATGTGATGCAATAAGAAAATATATTATGCTAGCTACGTAAGTCCACATTTTATATAGCGTGGCAAGGCTATTCATAGTAGAAGAGCTCCAATAATATTGGGTAAAAGCTTCTTGCTTTACTGTAGAAGAAGTGAACAATTTTTTCTTCTCAAATTTCGATGTTAGTCAAAGTAAAGCAAAAGAAAGCCATATTTACCTTAGTTAATCATAAAAAAAAATTGTATGTGATTATTAGGGTAGGTCTAAAAAATTCAAATATATATTTTTTGTTTGGTATTCTAAAAAATGGGTTCTTAGGCATCTCTACGAAAATCGCTGCAAGTATGCGCAATTAGTTGTAACGAGAAAAAAAAGTTATTTGCTTTAAAATAGCCAAACTTCAACCGTAAATATTTTTCAAACGGTTAGGTTTACGAATAATCGAAAGATCTTTTTTGAAGAGCGAGAGTTTAATTTCCCACAAAATCCACAAAACGAAATATTTTTTCAAGTAGTTGGAAGCGTGATGTGAATTTTTCTAACTGATAATAAGAAAAAAAATAGAAAACTTTAAGGCGTAGGACCTGCCTATTACAATAATGAGCTCATACTGGGAGAGACTTTCCTGTCTATCAAGCAATTCTGCAGAGTACCAAGCAAAAAAACAACAACAACATTCGCTACATTTTACCCACCCTAATGATTACATATATAAACGAATTCCATGCTCAATACTCTTAATTTGCGCAAACAAATACAAAGTCGTTAAATATTGTCAGATCTCAACACTCCTCATTGGCACTCTTGCGCTGTGATTCATGGCAAATTGAGCGTCCAACAGACGCGTGAATGTGTGCTTGGCGTCTAATTGCACTACTTCCTGCCCTGCTTCAGCTGCTGTTGACCACTTCACACCGTTAGGCGTTCCATTCGCAATCAACGCAACGACAGCACAGCGTCACATCCGCTCGGCGCTGGCACGCGTGCGCGATTTGTGTTTGCCACCTCGCGAATTGGCAATTTGCGTGCGGCAATTAAACCAGCGCTTCTTCTAAATCTAATGTGCAATCAGGTCAAGCAATTCGCCGTATTGAGTGAGTCACTTCAGCCGCTACACGGCTGTCGTGTGTGCGCTCTGTCACAGTGTGCGCGCAACGCCAACAAATTAAGCTTAATTGCGCAAATAGTCAACAACAGCAATGACAAGCGTGGCAAACAACAACAACCACAATAATAGGTATGCAATGGCAAGCAGGCTAAGCGCTGAACGACCCTGAGGACTGTTTGCAAATTCATGCTGCAGATGCTTTATTTATGATAGCAACAACAATGCCTAGAAGTTTGTGTAAATAAATTTTCTTGCTTCGAATGCCTTTTTTGGTGTTTTTTTTGCATTTATTGTAGTCAATATGCCACTCTCGACACAATTACGCGCCTGCGAGTGCAAATCTGTTGGCATTTTGTGTGCCGTAAGCATATGTGCGAGCTCGTGCGACGGTGCCACATTGTGTTGCATGCACTATGCGGCAATGAGTAATGTACGCACGCGCCACATCAGCTTTGATACTGGTTGTTTGTTGTTGTTGCTGCGGTTTCTGTGGTTGCTGCTGCTGTTTGCACTGAAATATTTTCGTATGTTCCTTTCTGCTGGCTTTTTGTATGCTGTGGTACCTTGTAGGGTCACCCGCGGGTTAAATAACTTCATAAGTGGCATATTAGGCCCCGAAAACGACACATTATTGCAGAGTTCTAGGTGCATTGTTGTTGTAGAAAGGTTAAACAAATTTATGAATGTGGTCGCTTGGTCACTGAGCCATTTTAAAGAGCACTACGGGAATATGAGTTCCGAGTGTTCTGAATGATTTTTAATTTTCTGAACAATTTTGAATTCATAGCGGAGGTTTCGAGTAAATCTTTTTTCCGAAAATTTTTCCTTAACCAAAAATTAATTTTCGAAATTTTTAAAATAAAAAATTTAGTTTTTCGAGCAAATTTAAATTTATGGAGATTATTCCGATCAATTTTCTTTCCGAAGTTTTATTAAACATAAAAAATTTATTTTCGAAATTTTAAATATAAAAAATTTTGTTTTTTGAGCAATTTTGAATTCTTTGAGGAGTTTCCGTCGACTCGATCGATTGAATACCAACAATTTTATCATTCTTCTTTCCGCTCTTCTCTTTCAGTAATTTATCCGGTATGTGTGCCCAGAATTTGTGCAGCTAAAGCGTAGCCACACTGTACAATAGTAACAACAACAGCGGTCGAACGTTTTTAAAAAATAATACCAAGGTGAGTACTACAATTCACACTGAGTCAAAAAGAATGCCCGATTTTCTCAGGCTAAACAAGCTAACAGCGAAAAAAAGAATTGCAAAACATTTTCGAATGGACTGTGATTTCCTTTGCAATTAATTGCATATCCGAAAGCAGCGGTGAACGCACCGCGCTCCCAACTGATACTATCGCTGCCACACAATGCGCTAAACACACACACACACGCACAAATCTAAATGTATGAACAATGCCCAGCAACAACTCGCCAAGTGATCATTAAATAAGAAAATATTGATTACGAAACTGTAGATAACAATTAACAGCGCAGGCAACAACAACTCCAAGCGCAGACGAATGGAAAGAAGTTTAAGTACACACATATAAGCCCGCAATTACCGGCGCTCGTTGTGATTTTTATTTACCTTTTGCACAAATAATAAAAAAATAAAAATAATATATATGGCAGCAGCACAGCATGTAGCGCAACATTTGTTGCTGCCATGTTGCTACATGACGCGGTTTGTTAAGCGCAAGCAGCCGCTGGCGCAAAATTATCACGGCGGCGCATCACAGCAACGCCGTTGCAAAAAAAGCCAATAAAAAGAACAACAAGCGAGTGTGTTTCGCTTAGCGATTGCGGCTCTGTATCGAGCGCCGAGTACGCGTGTGTGCGTCTGTGCATTGAAGCGCTGCTGCCGCTGCGCCATAATGATGGCAATAATAACAATAAAAAGCACATTGTTTGCGCTCACAAGTAACAAACGCGCCACTGCGAAATTGGCATGTGCAACAGCTTAAATTAAATGTTGCATAGTGCGATAGCGCTTGGCGATTAAACACATACAAGTGGCAGCGCTTGTGTGCTTTTCGCAACGCCAATATCTGCGGCCAGCATCGCGGCAGCGCGCTGAGCGGCAATTTGCAGTTGGCGCCCAGAAGTGGACAACAGCAATGTGTAGTTGCATGTAATGATGTTGATTTCAGGCAACATTTCCTGAAAATTTACAACTTTAACAAATACTGAGCCACGGTGCATGCAACGCGCCGGTGGGAATGCAGCAGTAATACGCGCAGCGGCCGCAAGAATTTCAATTATATGGCCCTGGACCTATCGACTTCGCAGCAACGCGCGCCGCACGATTGGCTGCCACAAATAGGCAGCCCTTTGCAACACGGCAGCTTGCAGCTTGTAGTGCAGGTTTTCCGCATCTGTGCGCACATTCATTGCATATTTATGCATGAAATTAATTCTTAAATTATAGCTAAGATTTGTAAATAAAAATTTCTTCCACGGCTCAATAGCCAATTTGTGGTTTGACTTGTGTCCACGGCGTCTGCAGTGCCTAAATACTATGAACAGTTCGAGCATTGCTTCAGCGCACCACTCCGGCCTGGCTTTGCTGCTCTTTATACAGCGCTACCTTCCTGTTTCGTTAATCTTACGCTTGCCAAGCTTAACAAATTACGCTAATTAATTAAATTCCCCAAACCGGTTAGCTGCTACCGTTATCATGGTAGGCCAAGATACCAGAGATACTTTTAGAATGAAGTGTTGCTGAATTCAGCAGTAAGAACCAGCTTTTTGTGCATTTATTGTTGTCGTAAAGTTAAAAGTTTGTAGCTTACTAGAAAGCAATAAGTAGAAAGGCATTGATTTGTTATGAATAGTTTGGCTGGAACAGAAGTTCAAATATTTTTATGTGGTACTTTTGTAATGTCAAAGCTTATTTGCCGCATAACTAACCATGGTTTAAGAGGCATCATCGCAATAGCGCTTAGAGCTATAGTCAACGACATCATTGAACTCCTATCTCTTAGCGAGGCTCACTTAGCCGCAATGATAGGCGTCCTAACTGGTCACTGCCTCATTTCCACGCACGTGGTGAGGCTAAAGATATTGGAGTACACAAAATCAGCAAATGAGGAAGATGAGGTGGAAACATCTAAACACTTTCTCCTTCACAGTCCAGCTTTTGACAGACTAAAGCTGAAGCAGCTCGGTAACTATACTTTTTACGAACTCGGCTGGGTTGGCTGGAATAGATATTAGTCGCTCAATCTTTTTTATGCATACCTAGTAGTTCTGTGCATTACACCGGGCAAACGTCTATAGCTATTTACCCAACCTAAACTAACCTAACATTGTCAAATTCCGCTTAGTTGAGTTTGTTTGTGATCCATTCAGCATCAAGCGCGGTATCAGTAGTCCATTCAGACGCTGTCGACAGCATGCGTTTGTAGTTTTAGACACATTTTTTTAAATTTGCTGCAGAGAAGTGATTTATTTGCAATCAAAACTACAATTTTATATTTAATATTTTTTATTTTTATTTTTTTTTTTTATATTTTTTTTTTTGTCTTACACTCTTTTCAAGTCATAATAATTGTGCGTTAGGTACCTAATTATGTTTATTAAACCTACAGATGTACATATGTAAGTTCTACATACGCATATCTACACAAAAAAAGATCTCACCAAGCAATTATGAGCTGTGAGAAATTAACTTGTAACTTCGCAAATCAACACTGCGCGTTGTTGCTTATGAAAATATTTGTGTTTGGTGCTTGCAAATGACAGTTAAAACCAACACAAGCAACTCACTATCATATTTTGCAGTTTTTGTGCGTTTCGCCATGTTTTATTGCATTAATAGTTTTTCTCTCACTCTACCCCTTAACCTGAAGTAATTTATTCGCGCTTGAAAAAACGCTTAATTGCTTATAGTTTCTTCTTAATAGAAACTCAATTAGTCGAGTTCAAAGTGTTGTTGGCAAAGTGTGAAAGGTTCAGGTGTCAGTTCAGTTGCTATTTGACTTGCTGTTGCTCTAAAACAACTAAAACATATATTTTAGCGTCTTGCTCTGCAATTTTCCAGCTCGTAGCAACTAAAACAGCGCATAAGCTATAATTTGCTGACGAAAATGAGGCAGATGCTTGCCTTGGCTTGTGGATACAAATTAATTATATGTGTGTTAACCCAGACAGGTTCAAAGCTGCACACTAATGGCAGTGAGGCAGCGGCAGAACTTAAGTATTCTAAAATGTATGTAAAAATTAGCAAACAATTAAGCAAACTAAAACATTTAAAGGTCTGCCGTTAAGCGCTTAAGTCTGACTGCAATAAAAATAGGCGGTTTATGGCATTTGTTTCTTTAGAAACTGCGCAGCTATTACCGCACAAGTGGAGATGCTGCAAATAATGATATACTTTACGCAAGTAATAACCACTCTCACATAATAATAAGTTGTATTATACGCGCACTTCCTGCTTTTGAAAGCGCTTTTGCATTATTTTTAAACCCAACACACACACACACATAGTTGGAATTTGGCTTTAGCCAACTTTACAAAACCTGCCTTTAAAATATTTTATATTACTTCGTTTCTTTTAAATGTTTTATGCACATACTTAAGTTCGTCTGCAAAACTGCTTAGTGAAGCATGCTTCATTCATCGTTGCGTCCATTCACAGCTTATGCCCAGTTCCTGCAGCAATTTTTCAGTTATTTTTTAATGCATTTCCTTTAATTAACTCATACCGTTGGCTAATACCGCTGTACTCGTCTGCTGCTGCTGCAGCCGCCCTTCGCTTTGCCGTCCAGTCGCCCTACTGCGCACTTTACCAACTAGCTGCCTTGCATTCTCGCACGTTCCGCGCCAACTGTTGCTCGAAGGCCGTTTCATTGATGCTGGCTACGTGTGCAATACAGTACTCTTCCCCAGTGCTGTCTAAGTTGCATTTCACAGCGCAATTTCTTGACAATCATTAAGCAATTTCCGTTTGTGGCAAGCATAGTTTGTGTTAGTGTATGTTAACACTTTGGCGCAGTGCTGCCAACTTGTACTTTTATCTAACATATTTTATTCGGCAGTTTCAACACGGCAAGTTGTGCAAGTTTGACCTTGCAAAGTTTTCATACACTTTTATTTGCTATTTTATTAAACGACTCTTCCCAAGCATAAACTACTTCCTCTGCTGCTCCAACTTGTTGCTCATTTTGCGCTTTTTTTATTGCAAGAACTTTTCACTGCTCCACAGCGGTATGTCGCTCGATTGGCTACAGTTATGCTTCTAACACTTTTGTTAATTAACTGCCAACATGACGAAAGCGCTGTAGGCAATAAACTCAGCTGCGCGTTGTTGCAAGTTCGGCTACAAAAAGACAGCAGTTGTTGACGTAATACCAGCAGAAAAGTAAATTACAACTTGCAGCGCAAATAAACGTTTCAGCAAATAGCAGTTGGCTGCACTAGTATTTCGTTGTAGTGTAGCTTGAATCGCTTGAAATTCTCGGCAGGTTTATACTTGATAAAATAGTTGAAAAGGTGTCTATAAAGACTAAGCATTTGTTGCATTAATTTGTTTACTTAATTGAGCATAAATTATTGCTTTGACTTTTATTACTTTTATTCATGTGAGAATATTAACATTAGCGCAAGCTTACATTTTCAGTTGCTTTGATATGTAAAAACGCCAGCACTTTGCTAATCCTATGCTGCTGAGTTGATTTCTTCATTTTTCTAACTAACCGCATATGTCATAGCTGTGCAAAACCAGATTTCAACTAACATTCGGTTTCATTGAACTTTTGAAAGGTTTGGTCCATTCATCAGTGTTTGTTTTAAGCTTTCTTATTTGTATTATGTTGCTGTTATTGTCGTTGATGTCTTCTGTTTGCCTGCTGGTCCATTGAATCTTTAGTTATTTGATAAGCTGTCATTACTTATTAAATGAGTCATTGGCCGTTTGCTGTTTTAGTTGCTTTGCTGCGCGTGTCAGTTTACAAGTTGTTCAACATTGATATTTTAGTTGTTTATGTGATTTTTATTTATGTTCTTCATTATTACTTTTAGCTCCACTATATTCCTAATACCTACTTGCAGTTTGTTGTTGTGGCATTTTAGTAATTAATTTATTCAATATTTCAGCTTTTGTTTGAAGTTCGTGGTCGTGTTCACAATTTATGCGCTTGATTTGCCAATTATTGCTTCATTCATAAAAAGCTTTGAAAAT